GTTCCAGCTACTTGGAAGGCTGAGGCGGAAGGATCACCGGAGCCCAGCAGGTCGAGTCTGCGGTGGCCGGGAGCGGCGACAGAGTGAGACTCCAACTCAAAATAATAATAATAATAATAATAAAATAAAAAATAAAATAAATTTTTTTTCTTATGAGAGAAAGAACGCACCCAATGGCAACTCATTTTCTTGTATCTCACTTGTATCGGATTTAATGAGTAGAGGAGAGCTGTGCCCTTAAGTATTGACGGAGGTTATAAGGACGCTTTGCCCTTCAGAGGTTTTGGAGTGTCTTACAAACAAGTCCTTATCCCTAGGGCGAAATCCAAACCCCAAACGACTGGTAGGAGATTTAATGGGGGAAGTTATTACAGGAGAGTTGGCACCTAAAACATGAATATGGAACATAGGTAAGCTGAAGGGAGTCCCATACTCTTTGCAGAGTCTCTTTCTACCAGCTTTTCTGAGTTTCTCAGATAACGCTTCTCAGTGTAAGACTGCTTAAGTGTCAACTGGCCCTTCTGTCTTAATTTCTTGAGAAATAGGAAAACTATATTTTGGTGTTTTATTATTGGTGATTATTTTTCCCAGCCCTGAAATTTTTATGATGCTGGGACAGAAAAAAAACCAAAACAAAACACCACAGCCCTCTATCATATGTTGAAACTTATCAACTTCTGTTTCTGGGAGGAAATGAAATGGTTGAACCTTCCCACCAAATTGTTTTGTATTTATTTGAATACAGAAAACAGACCTGGACCTCCAGGGATCTTGTACAGTTGAAGGCAGTTTAGGGAATTGCTAAGGAAAGTAGCCACAGCTGGTTTGTGCATAAATGTAGAAACCAGCGCAGCACTCTCAAGGAAGGGCAAATCCAGAGTGGTGACACTTGGACAAAGGGAACTTCATTCAGATAAGTGAAGTCATTCTCTGTAAAATGAGCCCCAAGGTATGTGATAAAATAACCTCCGAAGTGTGTAAAAGGCCAGAGTTGTTTTTTCTCCCCTACTTTCCTGTTCATTGGTAGAGAATAGGTTAGTGATTTTTAAAGGGCTTTGCAGGAGCCTCTTAATACTACGAATCACTGAAAATCAGGTGTCGTGGCCTCATTAAAAATTAACTATTTTCTAAATCTCTTCGATAATATTTGAACTTGCTAACTACTTATGCTTCCTTCGTTGCTTCCTTCGGAAAGAAACAGTCCACCTTCTCCTCCCCCAAACAAAATAACTATGTGCTATCAGGACAGTTATAGTAGGCCAAGAGTTTTTGGAAATTTTCCGCTTTCATTCATGCCTGCCACTCCCACAAGTTTTCCCATTAGTAGAGAACTTAAGACTTTATTGTCAGGAAACAGGTATTAGTGTGCTTTCCTAAATACAAGCTATGATAAACACCAGGGTTGGCCTTCAGCAGAAATGCACTCCCTTAAAGGGACCTGGGCCAAAGTGAGAGGCAGGGTGGCGGTGTGGGCTGGAGCATTTTGAGCCCCACACCTTTGTCACCCAAGGCCCTGGGCAGGGCACTTATTTCTTGGCACAGAAACATTTCTCAACCTTGAACTGAATAATGGAAAGTACCCCCTCTACAGAAATACCAAGAAGAGTTCATGAGAGGCTTATATGAAATGTGAGCTCCTCTAAAGCAGAATATTTAAATTCCTGGGTGAATGGCACATTTTGATATTTAGTGAAATAAAATGGTGGAATGTCTAAATTTTTGTAAAAGCCATATTCAGACTCTAAGGCCTTCACTTCACCTTTCCCCTTTGCCTCCCCACGGCCCCAACAGAGTCTCACTATGTTGCTGAGGCTTGTCTCTGACTTCTGGGCTCAAACTATCCAAGTAGCTGGAACTACAGGCATTCCTCTCTCACCCCCTAAGGCCTTTTGACTTTTCTTTTCTGGAGTTTGTGGGTTTGGTTACCAGTCACCCTACAATCAAGATCAAGGCCTGAGGCTAAGTGCCTGTTTGTATTTCATATGTAAAAAAACTAAAATTGTTCACTCTCCTTTTTTTCTTTTACTCGGTTAACCCTACCTTGGCTTTTTTAGAATGCCTGGAGTAAGCTGGTAACACAGTAGGCTGTAGAACTGGCAGCCTTAGATCCAGCATCCTTTTAACAGCAACAGTATTACTGGAAAGTGGCACAACCCTAAACGGAGTTAATTATTAAGCTTATCAGAAACAGAAGTGGTTGATATTGCTCACTAAATTGGATGAGGAGTGAAATAGTCTTTTTTTTTTTTTTTTTGAGTTGGAGTCTCTGTCGCCCGGGCTGGAGTGCACTGACACACTCACAGCCACCCCAGCATTGACTTACTAGGCTCCGGCGATCCTTACACCTCAGCCTTCCAAGTAGCTAAAACTACAGACATGCACTACCATGCACGGCTTTTTTTTTTTTTTTTTTTGAGTCGGAGTCTCACTGTCGCCCAGATTGGTGTGCAGTGGCACGCTCTTGGCCACCGCAGCCTCAACCTGCTGGACTCCGGCGATCCTTCCGCCTCAGCCTTCCAAGGAGCCGGAACTACAGGTGTGCACTATCATGCTCGGCTAATTTTTGATTTATTGTAGAGACGAGGTCTCCCCAAGTTGCCCGGGCTGGTCTTGAACCTGTGGACTCAGGCAATCCACTCGCCTCAGCCTCCCAAAGTGCTGGGATTACAGGTGGAGCCACTGAGTCTGGCCGAAATAGTCATCTTTTACAGTTCTCTACCTATGTCAGGCTGCCGGTCCTCCCATTCAGTCTAATAGCAATGCAAGTGCTTACTGATGTACCCAGGGATGCTGCTGACTACAATATCCATCTTTTAGACTTCTGATAATTGTGGGCCAGGTGTAGCTCTCCCATGAGGGAAATTCTGACAGAAAAGGCTTCCTGTTTTCCTTAGGCTGAGCTGAGTGCTGTGTTCCAGGCCTCCAAGTTCCCCACGCTTGGGCAAGGCTATTAATTGACTCGACTATAAAATGGGAGTCAGCAATTAAAAAGCAGCAGTATAGAAACAAGAAAACTGACTCTCCAGTCTTACAACTAAAAAGGGGCATGCCACTTTGGGCACTGTACAAAGGGTTCTTCAAAAGGGAGGAAGCTTGGAATGACTTCTTTGTAGTTGTTAGGAGATGTATGTGGAATATTAGTAGTGATTTAGGTTTCAAGGTCAGATCTAGGAAACTGAATGGATTCTCACACTGGAAGCAAGGGAGACAAATGGTTTGAATCCAGTCTCTGTGGACAGCAAGCCTGTGGTGTGACTTTGCCAAAAACAGCGGATGATTTATATTTTTCTGAGTGCTTGCATTTAATGGTTTATGGGAGTATTGGTAGTCATGGTGAGAGGAAGGTTTGCTCTACCTGAATGTACTCATTGGGGAGTAATGCCTTATTCAGAGGTGCCTGTCACAAGTTCCTCAATGGTGTATGCTAAAGAATCATTAGCCAATCTTAAGAGCATTGGCTCAGAAAATACATCATAATTGAAAACTATCTAGACAAGTAAGGATGGGGAAAAGTTGAACTGCAGAGGTGTGTCTGGGGGAAGAAAGACCTGAGAAATGATGCTGGACTTCTGCCATATTCAATTTCTAATGCTGCTCTAAGTACTTCTCCAGGTAGCTTTCAATATCAGGACCTCATTGGGGAGAATATGTGTGAAGAGGGAGATGTTTTGAGGAATGTGCCTGTCATTAAGCCTAATATTTAGTGCTTTCCTGCTGCTACCAGCTTCCTGGACGCTCCAGACTCTGCTCTCCCCTCTTTTCCACACCCCAGCCTTCCTTTCCTCCCCAGCAACACCCTCTGTAA